CACACGGCTGGATCCGCCTCGAGATTCTGGTCAGAGCGCACCCCAGGAGAGGTCCAGGGATCGATTTTTGACCTGATCTGGGGCAGCGTTGTGGGGGGCAAGGCTCAGGAGGGGACGCTCCTCGACGACAGGAGAAGCTAACGCCAATCTGTCGGCGACGCACCGCCGATTCCAGGTCGATGTTCCCCCCCCTTTCCCCCCTTTCGCCCCCCCCTTATGAGAATGCATTCGGCATCGGCGCTAGTACATCCGTGGCCAAAAACCGTCCTGATCGGGCATGCTCCCGTCGAATTCGGCGGAATGTCGCCTACTCCGGCTCCATCTCGGGCTTCCTTCGGCCCGGTCTGGCTCGATGTCCCTTCACAGGGCTTGGTCGCCCTGACTCGTTGTCGCGGAGACCTCCCAGGAGTCGCTTCCGAACCTCGAGGGAAGAACACTCTGACCATGATCAACATTTCGCGGGATCTTGTCGCCGCCGATCCTGGTCATGGCCCATGCTGGCCGTCGCCGATTCGCGAGGATGATCCGCGAATCGACGCTGACAAATATGAACGGTGACCGCGATCGACACCGGCGTTTCCGCGCTCAGTCTTATGATGTTCCAGCCTTACCTTGATCAGCAGAAAGAGTTTCGAGCACCAAGAAAGTACGGAAGCTGGAGGGCTTTTACGTGCCGTGTCCTGGGAGGCGATGCTCATTTGACACTTTGCTCGCGTGTCGGGCAGACACCATTTCGATACTTTTCGGGGTGCTCGAATTTTCTTTCTGGGATGGAGTCCATTAGTACGACGGGAGCAACGTACGTTCAGTCTTGGTCACGGTCCCCGTTCTCCTCCTCTCCGTGACCCGCACTGCCCGCGCAGGGCAACTACAACTGGGCCACCGCCCGCTCCTCGACCTTCGAGCACCCGAACTTCGGCCACCGCATCCAGGAGGTGCTGCCGCCCATGCAGCCAGGCCCCGCCCACCCCCGCCGCGGCCCTGCGCGCGCTCTCCGCCCAGGTCCACGACACTATCCGGGGGTGGACAGAACCCCCAACAGTGACACGTCGATTCGTGAATTGTCCGTTTTCGGTGCTCGAGAGGGCGCCGCGGCCGTTCTTTTCCGGGCTAGCGCCCGCCAGGTTTGGGCCTCAGGTCGTTTTCACTAAACCACGTTTTACTAAAGGGAGGTCTGTCCATCCCCGAATTATTCTTGTTTGTATATTTTTGTGGTTCAATCCGAGCGTTTCTCCTCCGTCACGGCCTCCTGGGCCCGTTCCCTGCGCCATCGGGCCCCAGGACCATCAACACGGGATCAAGTGAGCAAATTGGGCCCTGGGGAGGGAAAACATCGTCTGATCGGATGCCAGGAGATCGATGCATCGAAGCTTTTGGACCGAGGGCCGATGTTTTCTGTGCGGGAGACCCTCGGCCTCCGCCCGCCGCCGTCGAAGCCGCAGTGGCCGCCCGGGCGGTCGCCGCGGCCACGCTGCGGCGGAGCCTGCTGCGCGGAAGGCTCGGAGGGTTGACACCGATAGTTCAGGAGGGGAAAACACATACAGACACAATTAACCGTCGATTCCCCAGAAAATATAGGAAAATATGGGAAGTGGGGGGGAAGACAGAAACCCAGAAAATATAGGAAAATATGGGGAATCCTTTTATTTGTGTGTATTTATTTGTGTGTCCTGGGGCCCCTTCAATAGATGAGGGCCGACGTTTTCTGAGGTGGAGAGCCTGGGCCAGCCCGAGGGCTTTGGGCTCGGTGGCTGCTCTGGAGCCTCGGGAGGCCGCCCGAGGTCGTGGAGGGCCCTACGGGGACCTGCGGAGACTCCCGAAGGAGCTCCTCTCCAGCGCAGGAGGGTGATAATGAGGAGGAGGAGGAGGAGGAGGAGGGTGAGGAGGATGATAACGAGGATGAGGAGGAGGAGGACGAAGAGCAGGAGGAAGATGATGATGAGGCTATAAGGATGGTGATGATGCTGCTGATGATGCTGCTGCTGATGATAATGCTGTTGATGATCCCGATGATGCTGATGATACTGCTGCTGATGATGCTGCTGCTGATGATGATGACGATTCTGATGATGACGATGATGATGATACCGATGATGCTGATGATTGTGATGATGCTGATGCTGATGATGATGCTGCCTCTGATGATGCTGATGAGGATGAGGATGCTGATGATGACGATGATGATGATGATGATGATGATGATGCTGATGATGATGATGATGATGATGATGCGGATGACGATGATGATGATGCTGATGATCATGATGCGCTGCTGCTGAGGAGGAGGAGGAGCAGGAGGAGGATGATGAGAAGGAGGAGGAGGATAATGAGGATGAGGATGAGAAGTAGGAGGAAGAGGATGATGATGAGGATATGATGATGGTGATGATGATGCTGATGATGATGCTGATGATGTGGGTGATGCTGCACCTGATTCTGATGCTGACGCTGATGCTGCTGATGTTGATGATGATGATGCTGATGATGCTGATGATGCTGC